ATGTTGTTTCTCTCATTTTTTTTCCATCTTTGCCTTCTTCCTTAAAAGCCTCCTTCTCCTTTCTCCATTCCCAACTCCAATAGCTAGTCTCATTGCCTAAGGACACTTTGACAATATGCAGGAAAGAAGTAACCTCTGCACTTATTATCTTCACCATCATTGGTATAATCATTGAGAGCATGGAAGTGGGTGATTGACCTAGAGAGGGCAAAAGATATGGAGTGAATAAAGGGCAGTGTCTAGCATATAGCTATGAGAAGCACACAAAGGAATTTGCAAAAGAGCTGACAGACAAGGAAGATTAAAGACAGAGTAAAAGAGAAAGTTAGGTGGAGAGGTAAGCAAGAAGGACCAGGTAAATAATGTGCGTTTTGTTCAAAATGGCTCCCCCTAACAGTTCCTTAGTCAGCTCTTCTCTATTGCCAAAACTAGTTCATGTCTTTTGCCTCTTCTCTATGTACATTTCAGAAATTCCCCTTGTTTTTTCCTTGGTCCATACCCCTTGCCTTGGGGCAGCCCTTCTTTTATACCCACTCAGGTGGCCACTGTGACTTATCCAGAGAAATTTACTATGAACAATATAGTCACTAAAAGGTCTATTTTTTCCCCACTCCGTCATTTTCCTTTTAAACATTTTTTGTTAGTTTTATTGAAGTAAAGTTTTACATAAATAAAGTTCACCAAGTTTATGTGTATTCTTCAATGAGTTTCAACAATTGGATACAGTAGTATAACCACCACCACAAGCGTGATATGAGACTTTTCATCACCATGAAAAGTCACTGTATGCTCCCTTTGCTGTTAATTCCTTCCCTTCCTTCTCACCCCAAAAATGTTGACTGCTTTGCTGACACTACAGTTTTGCCTTTTCTAGAATTTCATGTAATGGAATAATATACTTAGTAGTCTTTTGTGTGTGACTTCTTTCACTCACAGTAATGCTTTATAGAATCATTGATGTTGTTGCATGTATCATTACTTTGTTACTCTTTATTGTGAAGTAGTAGTCCATCATATGGATAGACTACAATCTGTTTATTCATTCACAAGTTGATGATATTTTTTTTTTAAGATTTTTATTGGGGAATTGGGGGAAGGGGAACAGACAAGTTGCTGTCCTTTTGTTCTTCCGTCTACTTGTGGAGAACGTTACTTCACTGGCCCAAGTTGGCACCATCATTGTGCTCTTCCTGGGCAAGGCAGATCAGTCGCCGGCTTCTGGATGGCTGTTCACTGCGGCTGTTGGCCGCTCACGCTGGCTGCTGGCTACACACGGTAGCTTATGGCAGCCCACTGCAGCAAGGGCTGCAGCCTACGCCATCACCAGCGACTCAAGGCAGCCCAGCTCCAGGTTGAGCTGCTGTTCAGCATCTTAGCTGTGGAGGGCAGTGTCACTGGCCCTCATATGTGGGATCTGAACCGGAGCCCTCTGGCATCCCAAGCCAGTTCTTAACCATCGCACCACTCGGCCAACCCAAGTTGATGGTATGCTGATTACTTTCAGTTTGAGGCTATAATGAATACAGCTCCTATAAACATTGTTATATGAGTTTTTATAAAGATATGTGTTTATTACTCTTGATTAAATCTCTAGGAGTGAAACTGCTGAGTCATATGGACATTTAACAGTAGTAGGTGTGGATATCCTTGCCTAAAAAACCTAGGGGAAAAGCATATAGTCTCCCACTTTGAAGTGCTATGTTAGCTATAGGTTTTTTGTAGTTGCCCTTTGTCAAATTGAGGAAACTTTCTTAATTCCTAGTTTTCTGGGAATTTTTATAGTGACTGGGTGTTTAATTTGCCAAATGGTTTTGTCTTCGTCTATTGAAAAAGTCATGTCATTTTTCTTTTTGTTTCTTAATACGGTGAATCACATTGCTTGTGTTTTCAAGAAAAACTATACTTGGTCCTGATGTATTGCATTGTTCTTTATGTTTTGCACTTATGTTCTTGAGAAATATTGGTCTGTATTTTTTCCCTTTTGTCACATTTTGTTATCATGCTAACCTTATAAAATGAGTTTGGAAGTGTTCCCTTTTCTATTATTTGGAAGATTTTGTATACAGTTTGTATTATTTTATCCTTAAATGCTTGATATAATTTGCCAGTGAAGTCATCAGGGCCTGGAGTTTTCTTCAAGTGTAGATTTTTAATTATAAATTCATTTTCTTTAATAAACCTTAGCTATTTCAGTTGTTTATTTCTTCTTCATTAAGCTTTGAGATTTTGTGTCTTTCAAGGAATTTGTCCATTCCTCTAAGTTCCCCAATTGGTAGGCATAAAGTTTTTCATAGGTATTTATACTTTTAATATAGGTAGGATCTGTAGTGATGTTCATTTTCCTGATATTGTTAGTTTGTGTTTTCTCTCTTCTTCTTGATCAACAGGATAAAGGTTAATCCAATTTTTTCATTTTTTCAAAGAATCAGTTTTTGTTTCATTAATTTTTAAATTGTTTTTCTGTTTTCCATTTTATTAATTTATATTATTCACTTTATTATTTCTTTTCCTCTATTTGCTTTAGGTTAAATATGCTCTTCTCTTGCTAGTTTCTTAAGGTGAAAGCTTAGATCATTAAGATCTTTCTTCATTTCTAATATGAACATTTAATGCTATAAATTTCCTTCAAAATACAACTGTCACTGTGCCCACTAATCTTGGTGTTTTGTGTTCACTTTCATTCAGTACAAAATATATACTCATTCCCTTGTGGCTTCCTCTTTGATATTATAAGTGTGTTGTGTAAGTTCCAGGTATTTGAGGATTACACATACTATAAACTCACAATAAATTGCTTCTATTTTTACTTTAAACAGTCAATTATTTCTTAAAGCAATTTAAAATGGTGAAATGTCTTTTCTATTTACCTTCATTTTAACTATTTCTGGAGCTCCTCATTTCTTTGCATAGATCTAGGTTTCTGCATAAAGAATTTTCCTTCTGCATAAAAAGTTTCCTGTAACATTTCTTCTAGTACAAGTCTGTTAGTAATAATTTCATTCAGCTTTCATTTTTATGAAAAAAATAATCTGTATTTTGTTTTTATTTTTAGGAGTTATTTTTTTCTGGGTGAATTATTCTGGGTTGACAGTTTTTTCCTTCAATACTTTAAAGATGTCACTCTGTTGTCTTTGTTAGCTTTCTATATCCTAAGAGAATGTAGTTTTCTTCATTATAAAAAGATATTTTCCTCTGGATATAAAAATACAGTTTATTTTTTCTTTGGTTCTATTTCTTTAATGAAGTTCCTCCATTATCTCCTAGTCTGCATGGTTTCTGATGAGAAGTCTGCTACAATTTTTGTCTTTATTCCTTGGAACACAATGTGTTCTTTATCTCTGGATGCTTTTAAGATATTTATTTTATTATTGATTTTTAGTAGTTTGATTATGATGAGTCTTGATGGGCTTTTCTTCATATTTATACTGATTGAGGCTCATTAAGTTTCTTGGATCTATGGATATATCATTTTCGTAAGATTTGGAGGAATTATAGACATTGTTTTCTAAAATGTATTTTCTGTTTCCCCTCCCTTCCTGGTTTATCAATTACACATATATTGTTAACTATTTGATATTACCCCATAGCTCATTAGTCTTATATTTATTTTTTAAAACATTTTTTCTCTCTTTATTACATTTTGGATAGTTTCTATCGCTGTGTCATCAAGTTCATGAATCTTTTCTTCAGCAGTGTGTTATATACTAGTAATCTCATTCAGTTACTTTTTGTCAGATTGTGTATTTTAGTATCTAGAAGTTCAACTTGCTTTAATACCTTCCATTTCTCTCATGTGCCTGTTTTCCTCTACTTTCTTGAACATATGGAATATATTTATAATAGCTATTTTAATATACTTGTAAGCTAATTCTACTATCTCTCATCTCTGGGTCTGTATCTATTAATTGATTTTTCTCCTGGTTTTGGGTTGCATTTTCTTGCGTCTTTGTGTGCTTGGAAATGTTAGATGAGATACTGAAAGTATTAATTTTTACATTGTTAGATTCTGGGTTTTGTAGTGCTCACTTAAATATGGTTGGGCTTTGTTGCTTGGAATCAGCTTGACCCTTTTGAGATAGGCTTTTAAGTTTTGTGAATCAGATTGAGAATAGCCTTTAGTCTAGGGCTAATGCGTCCTCATTACTGAGACACTAGTCTTCTGAGGACTCTACTTAATGCCCACGTAGTAGGAGATTATTTCATTCTGGCTAGTTGGGAGACAAACTATTGCTTGCCTGTGTGAGCTTAAGGATGGTTTAGCCTACTCCTTCCTGAGAGTTGTTTTTTTTTGTTGTTGTTGTTTTTGTTTTCAGCTTTAGGCAGTTTTTTTCCAAACATCACAGATCAGTACTGGGCCTTAAGACTTCTGAAGAACCCTTGAAAGATCTTGGAGATACCCTCTCCCCCAAAGCCTTACCTCTTCAGTATTTTACTTCACAAATTCTAGCTACCTTTATCTCTTTGAACTCCAAACTCTCTCTTCAACTGAGCAAGACTGGCAGGATTTGTTTTTGTTCTCTTTCACTTTGCTATGACCTGGGAATTCTTTCCAGGCAATAAGCTGAGGCAATCAAAGGGTTCACTTTATTAGTCTCCTCCCTTTGGGGTCAAAATCCTGCACTGCCTATTGTCTAAATGTCTAAATATTTTTGTTGGTTTCTAATTGTTTAAAGGAGGAAAATATACTTTCTTTTATTCTATCTAGAAGTGGATGTAGCCAACTTAAATGTTTTAAGGTATAGGGAACATGGTAAAATTTGTGGTAGTCACTCTGATGGGCAAATAAAGGTTTAATTGGAGAAGAGTGAGACTAGAGATCAAAATGAGGTTATGTGTTAATAGTCCAAGTAACAGACAGCAGAAGCATACATTCTTGGCAGTAGACATTGCATGCATAAGAAGTGATGAATATAATAAATATTTAGAGAAATGAGATCTAGTACTGAATCTGGGAAAATCAAATGAAATAATGAACACAATATCACTTTCAAACATTCATTTAAACATTTATTGAATAACTACTTACGCCTAGCACTGTGGTGGGTTAACAGGCTAAAAATATAAATAAGAGATAGTATCTGGGCTGAGTTAACAGAGTTATGAATATAATTATAAAACAATACAGGGACTGCCATAATGAAAGTACAAACACAGTGCTGTATTACATAAATACTGGAGCAATAACAACTGAGGGGTGTCAAGGAAGCCTTTTAAAGGAGGTCATATTTGAGATAATTCTTGAAAGGTAGGTGGAAGCTTTTTGGGCAGATAGAGAGGGAAAGGACATTGCAGGCAAAGAATAGTAAAAGCATAGTGATTTCCAAGAACAGAGACAGTTTCACTGTGAATGTAGTATAGAATATATGGGATAATCAAGGTATATCAACATCAAAATGTAATATTATAAAAGCAAGATATTGTTGCATCTCCAAGGATTGTCTCTCTAGATATATACATACATCATGTGAAATGTGTAAATAAGTTTTGTTGATGCCATGGTACTCAAAGTAGATTCTGTGTCATCAATTACATGGAACAGAAGAAATCAATATTTATGCCTACTTCCAATCCAGGATACAACAAATGCAATTACTTAAAATGTCTGCATTTATGTACCAAGATAATGTTCAAACAATCCATTCACTTTAAAAGAAATAGAAATAGATGTTTGACATGGCTCTAAGAAATAAAGAAAATATATAGAATTTTATATAGAATTAATTTTAAAGGTCTCTTTATGTAGGTGAATTCCACTGGCAATCCTTGCTACACATCAAGAGAATGTTCTTATGTAATTTGTGTCTCTATCTGTAAGAAACACGTAGAGCTCCTTTGTGATATTTCCATTTTAAGCATTCTGTTAACTCTGTCTTAATCTACCTGTTTTCCATTTTGAATTCCCGTCTTCAAGTGTGCCTGTTGTCCTCCATTCAAGACCTTCTCTTTAGTTGTCTCCAGAGAATAATCTCCAATCTGTTGCTATGTGGTAGAGGGTTAGTCATCTGCAGAGCAGAGTGGTGAAGGTATCTGTGGGTGCACCTGCTTCTCAGGCTTTTCCGCCAAGTCTAATATTGCCCAGCATTTACCCCTTCTACCAGAAGTGCCAGACACCAATTCCTGAGACTTTGTGGTGGGGATGGGGATGGGAATGGGATCCTGCATTGTAAATCAGGCTGCTGTTTGGCTTCTCCCCACTGCAGTCTCAGCTCTCCCGGGTCTTCTAAGTTAGTTGCCATTTATATTTCCTCTTTGCAGCTTCCTGTAGTCTAGTGAGCTTGTTTTACTCTTGATCTCTTTGTCCTTGTGGGTTTACACTGATGTTTAAAAATCCATTTACTATTACTGTAGTGGTTTTCAGGAGGTAGCTGAAAAAAATGCATGTGTTCAATACTTCCTCTTTAACTGGAAGTCTTTCAGCTCATGCTTTTTTTAGTGTCTATGTCTATGTCTTTTATAATGTACATAATATATTTGTACAATAATACATATATATAATTTATAAATACCTACTATTGCCATCGCTCGATTTAAATTATTTTTTCTACTTCTTCTTACAGATAATGGTATGTGATTATAAAGATTTGTTGAAGACCTCTGCTTTGCCTGGCTTCTAAGTGAAGGAGTTCTCCAGGGCTTAGAGGTTGACATTTTTCTCTTTTTATGTTCTGCCCTAGGGGATCTCACCTAGCCCAATGTTGATGACACCAAAATTTATACCTTTAGCCTTGACCTCTGCATTCAGCTCCAGATATCTAAATATTCCCTTGATATCTTCACCTGGATGCCTAATAAATAGCTAAAATTCAGCCTCCAAATCAGAACTTTTTTTTTTAAAGTTTTTTTGGGGTTGGGGGGGTGGGGGGGGTGCAGGTGGGGGTAAGACAACAAAAACAACAAAAATAAATATATATCTTCTGTTTATAGTTGTATTACATTTATCTAGGTTAAGTGCTATTGAAAATAATATAGCTAAGAGGAATGGATAGGGGTGTGTGTGTGTGTGTGTGTGTGTGTGTGTGTGTGTGTGTATTCTGTTATTTCTTCTTTCCAACTTCCCAAATTTTGTCATTAATATATCCTATTTTGCTTATTTTCTTTGTGAATGCATGGGCTTCAACATACATTTATTAACTTCCATTCAATGAAGTTTGAGGAGAGTGCTGAGGGAAATACAGGTGTTCAATCCCCCATCTTCACCTAGAAGTTGAAAAGTGTTAAACAAGGAAAATCTTTATGAGAAAATGATATTCAAGCAGAAACCTGAAGGAAGTGAGGAAGTAAGCCATGTAGATATCTAAAAGAAGAGCATTCCAGATGGAGGGAGCTGCAAGTGAGAACGTTCCTAAACTAGGAGTATGCTTAATGTGTTCGAAGAACAGCAAGGAGTCTAGTGTTGCTGACGTGGAGTTGAGAGGTGGGATGGAAAGGGAAGACTGTTAGGAAAGGGAGTTAAAGAGGTGGTAAGGGGCCTGATCATTTATTGGAGGCGATGGTAAGGATTTCAATTTTTATTCAGCATGAAATGGGAAGGCTTTGGAAGATTTTAAGCAGACATTATTAAAATTATGTTTTAAATAACCACTTTGGCTGCTGTATAATATCCTGCAGGGAGACAAAAGCAGAAGCAGAGACAGCGATTAGGAGTGTATAGGCAAGAAGTGGTGATGAGCTGACCTAGAATGCTGGCCATAGATGTGGTGAGAAGTGGTAGGTTTCTGAATATGCCTTGAAGTCAGAACTTACAGAATTTTACTGATGGATTAGGCAACAGAAGAGTCAAGTATATTCCAAGGTTTTGACTTGAATAAATGGAATCATGGTGTTACTGAAATGATGAATGCTGTAGGTGGAACAGATATTTGGGGGAGAGGCAGGGAGACAGAAGCCAGTTAGACATGTTAAATTTGAGATAACTGCTAAACAACCAAATGGTGATGTCAAGTGGTTTCTGGTTAAGGGAACAGTTAGGTAGAAGATATTAATTGGAGCTCATCAGTGTGTGAATAGTATTTAAAGCCACAATGCTTAATTAGATCAACAAAGAAGTGAGTGTGGACAGAAAAGGTAAATTGGTCCAATGACTGAGATCTGGGGAGGTTCCAACATTTACTGATTGGGAAAATGAGGAAGAACCTACTGAGGAGACCGAGGAAAGAGTTGCCAGTGAGATTGGAGAACCAAGAGAGGATGGCACCTGGAGGAAAATCGAAGGACATGTTTCAAGGTAAAGAGAGTGACTGACTTTGCTAAATTCTACTGAGGGAGTGAGTTAAGATGAAGTCTGAGAAACGATCATTATATTAACAATGTGGGGATCACTGATGACCTTGGAGAGGGTAATTGCTGTGAAATGAAGGGAATGAAAACTTAACTACAGTGCTGTAAATGCTGACTGATGACTCAGGAAAGATAGGAGTTCTCCATTAGAGCAATGTTCACAAGTAGGCAAGAAAGAGGGAACGCGGCATTCAGATGGAGATGGTGATCTTAGGTAGGAGACCAGACATTTCATCCACTGCAATGGGAGGGAAGGCGGGAGGCTCAGTTTGCAGTAGGTTGACAGATGTAGACAGAAATGTGGAAGATTATTTTTTATTGAAATAGGAAGCAAGGTCATTATCAGCTGAGAAAATGGAGACTGGAGAGGTACTGGACATTAAAAGAGAGGGAACATGTAAACTAGTTATCTAGGAGAGTAGGAAGGCAAATTAACGAGGAAATTATAGTAGGATTGCGTGGCAGGGTAAAGGCCCACTTTGTTTGAAGTCATGAAGAAAGATCAGTTAGCTTGGGCATGTGATTTTTCTCCACCCCTGTTTCGTTGCTCGGGTGCAAATGAAGAGTCAGTAGAGATTTAGATTTGAGCAGGTTTGGGGTATTGCAAGGTGGGTTTATGAAGAGGCTCAAGGGAGCTGAAGGTGTCGTGGTGTAGTGATTATATAGTGTGGGCGATCTCAGCCAAAGTATTTTCAATCACTTATTTGCTTTACCCCAAAAACGTAAGAATCATCTTTGATGCCTCTCTTTCTTCATTCCCCACACCACCCCATCAGCAGATCCTATTGTTACCTCCAACATATACCTGGAATCTATCACCTCTTCTCAATCTCCATGGCCACCACTTTGGCCTAGTCACTAGCCACTTGGTGTCAGTGTCTTGGCTGTCTAGCTGGTGTTACTATTTTATTTTACTATAAGTCTCTGTGAATGAGGAACATGATGACTATTGGTACAGTTTGGTGTTAATTGCCTTGACTCATGCTAAGACACCAGCAGTTTTACCCACTCTTGCTTTTGTACCATCAATGCCATCAGTGCAAATGTCAACAAAGTGGAAAAAGCAAGTAACATTCATAGAAAATTTGTGAATATAACTCTTATCTCACAGACCTGAAAAGATCTTGGAATCACAGGGATCCACAGATCATACAAGAACACATGACAGCTTGCCATATGGTAGGAAGTCAATACATTTTTTGTAATATAAATGAGGTAATGGATTATTCTACTGCAGTGGTCTATTATTATTGTTCAGCAATTCCTTATTCTAAAAATAATTGTCTTAGAATTTATCATTTTGTTTGAGGCATTTTATACGAGAAAAAAATAAGGAATCATTTAATCCAAAGTACCTATCAATAATTTCTTTACATGGAGATATGTAGACACTGCACAGATCCAGTCAAACAGACCTTGTTTTGAGGAGTTTATAAACATTACAGACAGTAGGGCATAAACAGGGCTAATATTGAATATGTACATTTAATTAGTTAATAATGCCAACCTATAGAGGGATAACTACATATTAGGTGAGATATCATTAATACCTTAGTCCTCTAGGGAGAAAATTTAAAACTCTACTAAATAACATTAAAGAAGATCTGAATAAATGGAGATCTAGCCCATGCATATAAACAGAGTGAATTAATGTAAAGATGTCAACTATCCCTGAATTACTCTGTAAATTCACTGAAATCCCAATCCAAATGTCAGTTGTAATAGATAGATGAATAGAATAGACATAGGAATCAGAATAATAGCTATACTATAAAGTGAACTCCTGGAATCAATAAGATTGAAAACCCTAGAAAGATGAAAATATATGTGAATGAATAACAAGTACATTACCTCAGTAAGTAAAGAAGAAAATCAACAATGAGATATTATTTTACACCCATCAGACAGGGGAAAATCGCCCAGTTCAATAATGCTGAATGTTGATGGGGAAACAAGAACTCCTTTGTACTTGGATGTTGCCATTTTGGAGAACAATCTGGCAAAGTAATTGTAGCAATTATATATGATTATCCAATTGCACTCCTAAAGAAAATGGGAGAGAGAGAAACTTAACAAAAAGAAGCATATAAGAGAATATCTTTTGCACAACATTGTCTACCACTAAAGGAAGAAGAAAAAGGTTGTGGATGCATAGTACTGAATATGACACAGCAGTTAGAAACAGTGTAGAGCTCAAAAACATAATGCTTGGTGAAAACGGGGGGCGGGGGGAAGGGATCTATTTGTGAAAATTTCAAAATATACACATGCAAAATGGCACTACATATTCCCAAAGGTACATTTAAATTTAAGAATATACATCAAACACATTATTAGAGCCATTTCGTTACCTGTTGGGAAGGGGAGGATGGGAGTGAGGAATGTGATAACGGGAGGAAATCCATTTAATGTTGCTTTTTGGCCTTATTCAGATCAATAATGATACTGGATTATAAAACAAAGACTTTGATTAACTCAATTTCTGCATCTATCCCACCCTCCTCTAATCATCATCATCATCATCATACACACACACACACAGTATGATGCTAACAAATTCACATAGTCTGCATATTTGGACAAGGATAATTAGAAAAATTTGCTACCTATCTTATGATTAATCAGGGGAATTAGCCAAAGAGCTGTAGAATTCTTGAGAGTTGAAAGATCTCAATAATTTAGCTTTTCTAATTTCCTGATTGCAAGTATATCTTTTTCCTGACCATAGCAAATTGATTTGTGTCTATTTTTCTTTGGAAAAGTCATCAACAAAGGAGGCTCCACATCTTGTTTTAATAGCCTGTTTTAACATTTAACAAATAATTTTTCTTTCTTATGTCTGTACTGTATTTTCATACTTTCAAGTGATTTCTCAGAGACGATGGATGAAATTTGGTCTGTCTTTGTTATGATAATACCTCATGTATTAGGAGGCAATTATTGTCTTCAGACTAATTAATTCCCAACTCCTTCTACCTGTCCTCATGGGTCTTATTTATTCACTACTTTAATCATAGTATTAAACTACTCTGAACGTCTTCACTTCACGGCATCCTCGAGGTGAACAGACATAAACTAGATGCAATACTAATCCCACGTGTGCCCAATTGAGAGAGAAATTATTTCCAACTATTGCTATCATGAGTCCTTAAAGATAATAACTAGAGGCTGGGAAATCTCATCATTTTCTTTATGCATTTTAGTTATAACAATCCCTTATATGTATAAATGTTGGTACAAAACACTGTCTTATTTGATTTTCCAACAACTCAATAATGACAAGAAAGATGTCATAATTCTAATGCATAGATAAGTAATGTAAAGCACAAAGGTATTAAAGTAACTTTCATGAGGTAACTGAGCTAATAGGTGCTGCAGGTAGGACTCCTGATTTTAAGCATGCAGGAAGCATGCTTGATTTCAAGCTTGTGAAGGTCTTGCATGGGAGGCAGTGTAGAGTGAGAGAAAGAATATTAATTTGTTGCCAGAGGACTTAGATTCAGACTCTAGCTCTACCACTGGCAGTTGTGTGACCAAACAGGGATAATAATAGGGTTGATGTGCACATTATGGTTAAGGTGTAATGAACTCTATAAACTTTGATTTTCATGTTTTCTTTGTTCTGAGGATTTGAAAACATCTGACTTTAAAAAGTGATTCCAAAATAATTTTCTTTTGTTTCTCTGCTCCCACATCACTAGTTTATTCTGTTGGAAAATGTTTTCTTTTGTTGTTGTTGTTTGGTTTTTCTTCCTGTTCCATTATCTTGCTCTTGTTATTTAGATATTCATTAACAAAATTAGGAAGTCAGGAAACACATTTGCTCTGACACTTTTGTCCTTCCTTAGACTATATAATCAGTCTCAAAATATTTATAGACTATGGACAAAAGAATGAAGAGCATTAGATATTTGTGCTCCCTTATATTTGTAATTTTTGAAGCACTAGAAGTTAGAGCAAATGACCACAGGAATTGAGGGAGAAATATTTTACTATCAATGTAACTTTTGCAAGTCTAATGACTTTTTAAACCTTTAAAAGTTAGTATTGGAGAGCAAAATTTCAGAATGTGTCAATGATCCATTATTGCAATACTTTATTTTATTGAACACAATCCCAGTACTTATTGTACACCAGATTTTCCCACCTGGGGTGTTACAAAGTCTTCACAAATTACAGGCAATGTGTAAACTTTATTTTTTGCTACATAAGAGACATCTGGAAGTGTCTGATTTACACTCTTCTAGAAAATGCCCTCTTTTCATCTACATAATTAACATTGGTCCAGGGCCTCTGTCCAGAGTTTCCTGAGTTTCCGATTTCCTTATGGTTTGGTTGTTCTATACTTCCTTGGATTATATGAACCAATTTAATTCTTCTTTTGCTTTAATGTGCTAAAATTATAATAAAATCTCTTTCCCAATCTCTCTCTCTCTCTCTCTCTCTCTCTCTCTCTCTCTCTCTCTCTCTCTCTCTCTCTCTCTTACGCACACACATTATCAAACTAATACTTGCTACAAGGAAGATTTACATAGTGAAGGTGATGCCTGTCAGATGGGATGCTGAGCTGAGAAGATCAAATGGGAAAGTGTAGACTAGGAGGAAGCAGCCTCATGAACCTAATACATGATAATGCCTCATGAAAGTAACATTAAGATGGTAACAAAGAAAAAATCATGTAGCATGGGAAGATGGGAGAACTTTCCCTAGTGAAAATTAAAGTGTACACAGTCAAGGCATCAGCAACATACTATTGAAAGAACAACTAAATGAACTGTCTGATAACTGTGTCTGCTTTTATACATACTGTGAGATTTTATTATAGAGTTGCCATTGATTTTCTTGTAATTATTGCTCACTTTAGCTTTGTTTCTAGTGTAGAACCCTTCCAATATGCTTTCATAGCTGCAATATCCAAAAGTGTTACAGGAACATATCAGACTGATATACAAAATAGAAAAGAAAGCATTTGAAACATATCATATTTTCTCAAGCTCTAGCCTCTCTGAGTTGGAATATATTTTACAGTGATATAGAGTATGTTGTCACCATCTGCGCATGTGCAAACCTGTATTTAGAAGGAATCTGTTTAACTTTGTTATGTGCTGTTGAACTTTCAATTAAAAGAGGATCTTGTTTATGTGAAGTGAAAGCCCTTCACTAAAGCATTAAACATCTATCTGTCAAAAGCTCCCAACTGGCTTTTAAGAAAAGTAATTTTTAATTTATATAAAAAAACAACAACCCTGTGATTTTGCCAAAATAGAAGTGCAGGAAAAACACTGGTATTCTTTAATATGTTTAGAAATTCTCCTCTCAAGCCTTAAGACGTTAAACAGGTCAAGGTTTGAGCATAACTATGAAATGCAGTGGGTCACCAAGGTATTATCCATAATTAAAAATGCAGACTTTTTAGACTTCAGACATGTAGAATTACTCTCAAATTCTGATTTGCTGTTAAAAGAAAAAATATATATAATTATATGTTTAAAAGAATTATTTTATTAACAAATTAAAATAAATTTTCTTCAATTAACATAATTTTTTCCCCTTGAAAGCTCTGCAAAATGAATGAGGTGTCTCAATATTGCTGGCAACTTATAATTGAGAGATTCATGTATTTTTTTCTGTACTTCTAACAGATTGCTAGTTGTGACTCGAATATTTGTTTTTCATATACATGGGTATAAAAAATGTATTTGGATTAAATATACTTAGGTCCAATTAAATTGTTTAACAAATAATTTTATCTCTTCATTCTGTTACACATCCAGAATATGATAACACGTTGTAGATTGGTAGTTCTATAAGTTTCATCTACCATATTTTTTAAAATTACATTTTTTAGAAAAAAGTTTTAAAAGTTTTTATGAGAGGTTTCCACCAGGAAGTCTATTCAAAATAATTAGTGATGATTAAATGAGTTTCATTGCCACTTTAGGAATTACTTTCAAAACTCTCATAGAGATTAGCAATTAATTGGAATTGAAACAAGAAGAAGTCTCCAACTTTAAAACATTTAATAACTCGGCTCTGAAAAATGTTTGAAAACTGTATGGTTTGAGTAATAACTGAAATGGCAGGATCATTAGTAAGGCAAATAACCAGCCGTGTACTGGTCCTTTTATACCCTTGCTTTTCATCCAATATCAATTGACCTGACTAAGAATACTTAAGTAATCTTTAGTTCAGAGTTGCAACAGTATTGGGACTTTTTATTTTAGAATCACTCATTCATTTGAATTCCATAGCTTATCTAGAATTTGTGTTCTATGTCAAGAATATATAGCTTTCTTGGATATTTGATAGTCTTGTTTTATAAACAATTGTGTCACATTATTTTAATGTCAATATTACCTTTGGTAAAGCAAAATTTTATTATGTAAAGATGTTTAATTTTTAAAAAGTAATTGAATACCTTTGTTTATCCGGGCCCTAGTAAAAAAGCAGTGTGGAGTATTGTAGCTTGATACTAACAGCTCAGATTCAGTTCCTTTGATCTGCTTAAGTTTCCACAGGGATGGATCTTAAAATAGTCCCCATATCATGCTAAAATATTGCAACTTGTCACTTTTGTAATCTGTGCCACCAACTGCCTACCATTGTTCAAAGGAAGCCACATACAAGCATGACTAGATTTTATCATCTTTATCATTGTTATTATGGTGCATACATTAAGAGAACACATTAAAAGCATTCCCTATAATCATATACTACTCTTGAGATTACAATGGTTGCTATTAAATTTAGCCACTTTTTTGAACCATGACATTTTATATCAATATAGCATAGATGAGTGATAATTTCCTTTCAGGGAGAAAAATGCTTCACCAACACAATGGGTACAATGAACAAACTTAAAATAATGATTTAAATTAATAACTTTAGAAAAAAACAAAAGGATAGGTTTTCATTTTTTAAAAAGATAGTGTTTTTAAAAATTAACATTCACTCATTATAGTTATAAAACAACAAAAAATGTTGTTGTTACCAAAACAAAAGTTCTTACCAAAACAAAAAACAAACAAACAAAAAATAACCAG